TGCCCCAGATGCCCCTGTGCTCCCTAGATATTCACAGATGATCCCGAGCCCCCCTAGCTGTCCCTGTAGGGTCCCACACATGCCAGCGATCTACACAGTCCCACAGATGCTTTCCATGGTCCCCAACGTTCCGGATATCCAGAAGATTCCCACACCTCTCCCCTGCTTCCCCCAGGTGGTCCCCAGGGAGTCCCCAGTGTCAGTCCGGTCCGTCCCAGTGCAGGCAGAAGGCTGGTCTATGGGGGCCCCTCCTTGGGAGAGGAAGTGGGCAGCGAAAGGGTGGGAGCCAGGCGCGCAGGGCCTCTGGGAGCCAGGCGGGGCCTCACCTCTCCCCTAGGTAGTCCCCGATGGCCGTCTTGTTCAGGCCCTCGCCCTTGTACAGGAAGCGCGCGATCTCCTCGGGTGTGTTCTGCAAAAGTTCATTCTCCACCAAGAATTGGATCCCCTGGTGGGTGGGGGCGGGTGGTCTCAGCACGCGGCCGCCCAGAAAGCCACTCCCCCCCCGCCCCCCCCAAAAGAAGCGGGCCAGCTCTCATTTTCAAGCTTCACGCCAGTCCTTATATACCACCCCCACCCCTTTGCCTGGTTAGTCAAGCACCAAGGGCAGGCGCTGGCAAGGAACAGTTCAGTGAGTGTTTGCTGAATGACTAAACAAACGACGATGGCTATGGGCAAGAACAGTAACATCGGGAACTCTCAGGAGGCAACAGCGCATTGAGGGCTATGAGGGCCAAGCCTCAGGCTAGACGAAGGCCTTCTCCCTGCGCCAAAGCAGCTACATTTTGCTCTGGACCACGGGACCCACGTCTAGGGGCTTGCTGAGGATGAGGCAGGGTCCACCCCTTCTCTGGGTCCCCAGCATCGCCTAGCACAGCGGGAAGCCCGCAGGAGGCCTCAGAGAATGGGTGTAAAGTGAATCCCCGAATGAACAAGCATCTTTCTCCGCCTGGTGAATGTGGACTTAACCTTCAAACCTGACCTGAGTGTCCTCTCCTCAGGGAAGCCTTCGCTAAACCCTTTGAGGCGCCCCCCTCCCCCCACCAACCCCACGAGTGTCCACAGCCCTGGCGCCTCTCTGACGCGGCACTGATCAGCCCTCCTCTGTGCACGTCACTGTCCGTGTTTCCTACCAGACCCATGTTTCCAAAAAGGGGAAAAGAGCCTCCCAGGCAGAGGGCACAGCATGTGCAAAGGTCAGGAGGCTGGGACGCCCAGTTAGTGTTCGGAGAACAGATGGACAGCCTGTGTCTGAGTTCCAGGGATCAGGCGCACATCTGTCCACCTCAGGCAGACCTTTAACTATTGCACTTCTGGAACCTAATGGTGCCAGAGCCCTCTGCCTGGATGTCTGTCTGCCTGGCTGATCCCGGCCCTGTGGCCCAAGCACCTTCTTGGGATCCATGTTGAACTTCTTCCTGCCCATTGCCATCTTCCGGTTCCGTTGCAAGGTCTTACTGCAGGAGAGAGCAAGGGATGGGGGGGGTCAATGCCTGGGCGTCTCTGGCCTGGCCCCGTGGCCCTCCCCCAAGGTCGCCACCCCAGCCCTCACCTGCCCTCATTGGCCTCCAGACCCTCCACCTCGCTCATGGCTTCACTGAGCTCCTCCCGAAGGCGCTGGATCTCCACCAGCAGCTCTTGCTTCCGCCGCCGGATGTTCTCCAGCTCCATCCGCTCCTCCGGGGTCAGGTCTGGGGGCTCTAAGGGTCAGAGTCAGGGACTGGAGGTCAGTTCTGGGGACTGGGAGCCTGGATTCCTGCAGTCTGGGGGAGGATAGGGTTTGGGCCGCCGGGACTCCTAGGTTGGAGAGGATGAGGGTGAGGGTAGGGCCTCCTCTGTCTGCTGGAAGAAGGGGCTGGAGGTCTCGATTCCTCAGTCCAAGCGGATCTAGACTCTTAAGTCCTGGGGGCGGAGGAGGCTAACAGGGGTCAGGACTCCTGAGTCTGAGGGAGAAGGGGGCTGGGAACCCGAACTGCTGGGTCCATTACTTGGAAGGGGGCTGAGGCCTTGATTTTCTGCCTCCATTCCTGGCGAGGTAACTGGGAGCCTGGGGGTCCGGACTCCTGGGTCCATGAAAAGTAACTAAGGCCCGGAGAGCTGTTGACAGCTCGTAAGAGTTGGGGAAGGGGGGCGGGGCATCGAAGGCCCCCACCCCCGCCTTCGCGGGATCTCTGCAGCCCCCAAGATTTCTCCCCACCCAACCGCCCCAGAAGCCCCCCCTCCCAGCTCCCAGCAGGCACTGGGCTCGCCCGGCCCTTCCAGCGGGAATGGTTCCGCCCCGGCCTCGCCTCCGCCGCTCCATCCCGCCCCCTCCCGCCGCCACCGGAAACAGGCTCGGCCCAAACAATGGCCTGGAACGCCCTGCTCTCGGGCCCCGCCGGAAGCCCGTCCCGCGCCCCACAAAAGCGAGGCGACGACGGGGCCGAACGGCTCCGCGCAGCGCGCGCCGGGAGGGATGTTCCGAGCGGAACGTTCGGGTCGAAACGCTCCATCCGCTCCCGGCCGGCCCCGCCCCTCCCCGACCTACCATAGACACCGTCCTCCATGGCGGCTAGGAAGGCCCGCGGGGAGTCCGGGGCGGTCCCGCCGGTCGGGCCTGGATCCGCGTTGGCCCGCGGGCTCGGGTGAGCCCGCTCAAACGCCCCGGGAGCCACCGCCGCCTCCTCAGCGCCAGTCCTCAGCGCTGAAAAGACTCTCCCTTCGCCTCCCAACCGCCCCGCCAATAGGGACCGCCCCTCGTTTTGACACCGTCCAATCCACGGCGGGCCCTCTCGTCTGCTCCGCCCCCGACCCCGAAGGACCGTCCTCCAGGGCCAATAGGCACAAAAGGAGCCTACGTAGCACTGTCCGGCCGGGGGTAGACGGTCTGTGGGACCAATCGGAGAGCGGGCACGGAGCCTGGTCCCGCCTCCGAAACAAAAGAAGGCACTTGGCTGGTTTGTCCGCCAATGAGAAGGCTCGGAAGGGAGTTGCATGGGGTGGGACTATGGGAGCGAGAGAGGACTGCGCCTGCGCAAGGGCTCTGGGCCCTAGGAGACTAGCCCAACGGAGTCCCGCCTCTAGTAATAGGTTGCTGGGGAGCGGCACTTTGTTAGTGTCGTTGCCAGGGGGCGGGGCCACAACTGTCGGCTGTTCCCGTGAGCCACACCTCCTTGGCTAGTTTAGCGGGTTTTTGACCGCAGCGGTTGCCAGGCAACTGAGAGCCGCTTGGGCCCATCTTTTGGCCTCCGTTCTCCCGGTACTGGCCGCTCCGATCTCCAGATCCTTCTTTAAACCCCTCTCAGGACTTTCCTTTCCACTGCAGTCTCTTGAGAGTCCCGGAGTGGTGAGACAAAAGACGTATTCTTTCTTCCAGATGAAAACGCTAGTCGCTATCTGCCATGGAGAATGTGACAACAGGGGAAGGCCAAATATAGTGAAGGCTCCACCTTCCTGGCGACTTCTGCCTCTCAGGCTCCTCCCTCTCGCCCTCAAAGCCCTCCCCTTAGTTTAGCGTCCTCCCCCTAAAACAACTCCCTTTTCCTCAACCCACTTCTCTGGTTCCTTCTCCGCTCTCGGAGTCCTTTCCCTTCTCTCTGACTCCCCTCACTTCGGGCCTCCCTCTTCTTAAACCCCTCCCTCCTCTCGGAGTCCCCCCACAGACATATATGATGCCCTCCCCCCCACCCCAGCCTCTCATTTCCATTCCTTGCAGAAAAAGCAAGTGCAGGCAGCTGGCCAGGATGGTGTACCCTGGGCATCCCTTCACGGGGCGGGTCCCTAACCGGGCCCGAGGTGGTGTCTGGGCCTTGTCCTCATTCGCCGTCCCTGGGCTAGGCAGGTGGGGACAGATTCAGGGCCAGGACCTGGTTAAGCTGACAGATTAGACACGGAGCCTCTTAATCCCCTCACTGACCTTTATGAGCGGCCCACGCCTTGTCCTCGCCAGTGGAAACCCAGGCTGTGCCAGCCCTGCCCTATTCTCTTTGCTTCCAAACTGAGCCCTCCTCCACCTTCACCTTCGATTTAACACCCTTCTCCGTGACTGTGTTTCCATTACCCGCGTCCCTACCCCAGACAGCCTGCATTGGGAGAACAGCTAGCTAATTAATCCCGTCCGGTTATTAAGTGGGGATTTTGAAGGATAAAGGGAGGTGGGGAAGCCAGAAGCGGGGACCTGGGTTGGTGCAGCACTTGGGCAAGCTAATGGGCAGTGACAGTGCCTGGCCTCAGTCCTGGGACACAGGCAGGAAGGTGTCCTCCTCCCTGGCGCTGGCTCCTTCTGCAGCTGGCTCGCAGCCTGCTGGGCACTTAGGGGAATAGCAGTATGGTGGGGGTTGGGGGGCAGGCGCGAGGAACCATGCCCCAGAAGTGTACTCACAGACACACCAGCAGGGCTCCCAGTGATTTAATCTGGGGTACAATTCTGCCCCCAAAACACATACTTTCTCCCGGCATTCAGCGACCTTCTCCTTTCCCTGCCCCCTGAGCTGGACCGAAGGGAGGAGATTCTGGCCCTTGGCCACAGCCCGCACTACCACTTGCCTGCCCTGTCATTGACACATCCAAGTTCAGAGCTAACCTCCAAGAGCACCTCCCCTCCCAGTAGCCCCTGGAAGGCCATGTGTTCCAGCACCGGGGATGGCGGGGGGGGGGGGGAGGGGAGAGGCTGGGAAATCTACAGGACCCTCACCCCCACCCCTAGCCGCCCCTTCAATGAAGTGAGGAATCATCTGGTGGAAAGGTCCTTTGAGAACTTCAAGTTCCAGTGCCCCATTTTTACAGATGGGGAAACTGAGGCGAGGAGAGGGGCGTGATTTGCCCAAAGTCACACAGTAAATTGCGGCAGAGTGAGGATTTAAAGCAAAGCTTCCTGGACCCTTGTAAAGGACTCTGTTCCCATGAGCTCAAGCTCGATTTCTAACCCCTTCGTAGGAACCATGGGAGAATACAGATAGATAACTGTATTTATATTATATATAATACACATATTTATAATAACATCTTTAAGAAATAGACACACATCACTAGGTGTAGGACTCGAGGGCACTGTAGACTCATCAGCCTTGGGCCTCTCCTTCTCTTTGCCCAACATCCAGCCCTGTTATCCACAGGGTCTTGCCCGGGCCCTCCCTTTCAAGGTCAGCCCAGAAATGCTATCGAGTCCCGAGTCCACCTCCTAGAATGGCCAAGTTCTAGGAGCTGATTAGGACTTCCAGGTTTTAATAATGAACAACTCTGGATCCCCGGAGCTCTGATTCCCTTTGGCATTGACAGACCCACAAAGAATCATCGAGATTCTCAACTCCATTGGGCAAACTGGAACCTGCAAATCTCAGACATCCAGACTCACCACTCCTTCCTTGACTCTGTGATCAATCTAGAGGCACAGAATCCTGAATCCTTTGGACATTCTAGAATGGCACTTAAAAAAACAAACAAACCCCGTGGATCATTAGGAAGCATTGATTATCTCCTTGGTTTGATGTTCTACAGCTGGGGGTCTGGAGTGATCTAATATCAAGGACTCCCGATCTGTCACATTAGCCCTTCCAGACCCACTACACTCTTGTTTTGTGCATTCTAGAAACATAACTCGAGTTTCCTCAGCATTCTAGGACAAACCTGTTCTAGAACCACCAGTGCTTGCCTCTGCGGTCAATCTAGATTCACAGAATCTTAACTCTTGGGCCTTCTGGAACCACAAGGTCTTCTCTTGACTTGTAGTCAACATCCTGTCATTGGTTAATCCAGACAGTCTTGAATTCTTGGGGCATTCCATAATTCCCCCTCCTTAACGTGGTCTAGAAAAAAATGATTTGCTACTTGGTTAGCTGAGTCTAGAAGCAACAGTCCCTTGAATGTTGGTCAATCCAGACCTACAAACTCTTAATGTGCTGCTGTCCCTGGAGGCGGTATATACCATTGATTCCTGACCCTGCTCAACAACTGAACCCGGCCATAGAGAGCGATCTAGAACCACCCACCTTTGCCACTTAGGCGCTCCAGAATTCTGGATCCCTCAGCTCTGGGGAGACTCAGGAATCAGGCTGATAAAGGGGTCTCGAGAGGGAGCATGGAACGCAGAGGAATTAAGATCCAGTATGTCTGCGGTGGGTCCACTGGGCATGGGGGACCTCCACCAGCTAGTAATTTACCCAGCAGGCCTGTCGGTCTTGGGAAACACCTGCCCCCCATCCCAGGAGAGGGCCCTCACTCTCCATGTTGCTACTTCCAGGAAGGGGGTACAAATCGGGAGACACCAGCTGGCATCACGGGGGTAGGGTCAATGCCAGGGTCGGTGTGAGCACTTGGGGGCTGGCAACCCCATCTCCTGCCTCCGCTCCGTCCTCCTCGTTGGCCTCCTCTTCCTCATCCTCCTCCTGACAGCAGCTCAGTGCAAGTTCATTCTCGTAACAAAATGCAGCCAGAGAGCCGGGGAAGCTAGACTTGGGGCTGTGTGAAGCCCGCTCTGCCTGCTCGTCCAACTCCTTGGCGCTGCAGACTGGCGTCCCCGGGACCTCGTAAGTGCGGTGGAAGTGGCGGTAATCGACCTCGTACTGGGAGCCACGCTGGAAGAGGACCGGCTCAAAACGATGGCCCCACAGCAGCTCGCCGGGGAGGTAGGAGGAGCGACACTGTGTGGTCATGGCCGTGGCTTCAACCATGCCCTCGAGAATGACCACCAGCTCAAAGTCAGCGCGGGCCAGCTCGGCACGTCCTAGTTCGTACAGAGGACTGCCAGAGTCGATCTCGTGCACGATGGTGATGGGAGACACGAGGAAGATTCGATCAGTGCCGCCATCGAAGCCCACGTCCACATCCTGATGATCCAGTGGAATGTACTCACCCTCCGGGGTCACTCGAGGCTGCAGCGAGAGGGCCCGGAGATGGATGGCACGGAGCGCAGAGATGAATGGAGACAGCGATAGCGAGATTTAAAGGAATGGAGGAAGGGGAGCAGGAACAGGCAGGGGTGGGGGTGAGGTGGGAACATGGACCCAGAGAGAGGAGGATGGAGGCCCAGAGAAAGCAGGGGACACAGGGAGAGACACTCAAAGGATTTGGGGATGGAAGCCCAAGAGAGGAAAAGGGAGGGGACAGGACGGAATGATATTGGCACAGAGTCACAGAAATCAGAAAGGCAGAGACAGAGTTAGAGACGACAGAAGATGAGGGTGACGCCCAAGCAGCCATTGGACAAGGAGGGGAGGGACAGAAAAACGACTTTCAATACAAACCAAGATGACAACGTGGGTCCCACACTCCATAGTCCACCGTAGCCTCAGAAGAGCTCTTGAGCTCTCTGTCCCCACAACCCAACTACAAGCCTTTCCATCCCGCTGTGTGTGTGTAAGCACAGTGCAGTCCCCAAGCCACGTATTGGTAGTTTGACCCCACCTACCCTGACTGGTTCCATACCCAACCTCCCAAGCCATGTCAGCACCCCACAGACTTCTAGGAGAGAGAGTATCCCTCTTAGTCCTGAATCCTAGTCTCCCACAGCCAAGAAGGAGCCCCCAGAGGCTTCTGGGAGTTGTAGTTCCCACCACCATTCTGTCTTCCCTCTCACCGAAGTCCAACCTCACCCCAGGGTTCTTAACTGTCTTTACTTGGGCAAGGACAACGACTGTCCTAGACTTTCGGCAGTTTGACAATTCTAGAAACACTAAGACTCCTTCAGGGCACCAGAGGGAGCCGCTATCCCAGGGGCCGATGGGGGTTGTAGATGTTGTTTTGGTGATAAGGTGTTTTCCAGCCCTTTACTCCTTTGAGCAGGAGGCTGGTGGCCAGACTGAGCCACTGAGATGGGGACTGAAGTCTCTCACAAATGCTGCAGGACCCCATGCCCAGAGACCACGGAGCATTGTGGTCCGTGGCTCCGCAGTCCCTCGGGCCAACATCTCCCAAAATCCCACAGGGGCCTGGCCTCAACACAGGCTACCCTCCGTACCACTGTGTCCTACCGAGGTTACACCACCCACAAAACGCCACCACCTGCTCGGACCATCCCTTCTGGGCACCCCTCCTGCCCACAGGCGCTTCCGGGAATTGTAGTTCAGAGCCCCTGCAGGCCTGGTGTGGCTCCCAGGTTTACATGTCCCACAACCGCACCGGGGACCCATCCTCAAGCCCCAGTTAGCTCTTGGTGTCTCAAGATCCGGTTCGTGTCTAGGTCTCCAATTAGAACTGGTCACGGACCTCCCTCTTGGGTTCACACCTCCTACAACTGATCCGGGGAGGAGCCTCAGTCCACAAAGAAGGGGAGGCAGGGTCCCCGCCCACGAGACTGCTGGGAATTGTAGTCCATGCTCTGCACGCGCTCCAGGCCCAAAGCGCGCCCCGCCCTCGGGCCTACATCTCCCACCATTCCTCCGCGAAGGGCGCCTCCCTCCTGCCCCGGCCTTGGCCTTCCCACCTGCAGCAGCTGGCCACGAGACTGCTGGGAATTGTAGTCCACGCGCCCTCCAGGCTCGACACCGGCCCCGCCCCCGGGCCTACATCTCCCACCGTTCCCCCGCGAAGGGCGCCTCCCGCCCGCCCGGGCCTTGGCCTTCGCACCTGCAGCAGCTGCGCCCGCACGTGGGCCTCGACCAGGTGGCTGCGGCGCAGGTTGCCGACGCGCCACATGAGGCAGAGGCGGCGGTCGCGCAGCGCCACCACGGCGTTCTCGCTGAACACGAGCGTCTCGTTGCGCTTCTTGGGCTTGGCCATCTTGGCCATGACGGCGCCCACGACGAAGGCGTCCAGCACGCAGCCGGCGATGCACTGCAGCACCACGGCGGCCACGGCGGCCGGGCACTCCTCGGTGACGCTGCGCACGCCGTAGCCGATGGACGTCTGCGTCTCCAGCGCGAAGAGGAAGGCGGCCAGGAAGCTGGCCACGTGCGAGAAGCAGGGCGCCGGCGGCGGCGGCGCGGCCAGGTCGCCGTGCAGCGAGGCGATGAGCCAGAAGGCCAGGCCGAAGAGCAGCCAGGAGGCGAGGAAGGAGCAGGAGAAGAGCAGGCACATCCAGCGCCAGCGCACGTCCACGCACGTGGTGAACAGGTCGCTCAGGTAGCGCGCGCCCTGGCCGCCCAGGTTCACGAAGCGCACGTTGCAGTGCCCGTCCTTCTTGACGAAGCGCCCGCGGCGCCGCCCCGTCGGCGACGCCACCCACCCGTTGCGGCACAGCCCCGGCCCGGCCTCCTCCTCGTCGCCGGCCCGGCCCTCTCCTGGCTCCAGGGCGCCGCTAAGGCGGCGCAGGGCCCTGGCCAGGCCCATTGGGCGGGGACACCCCCTCCACTTGTCCTAGTAGGGGGCAGGCGCCCCGAACCTGCGAAGACGAGAAACGAGAAACGGGAGGGGACGTCAGGGGCGCCAGGAGTGGGTGGGCTCATCGGCCAGGCGTGGGCCCTGCGCTTTGGGGGCCTCATCTGGCCGATGTGTGGCCCATTGCTCACTTTGAAAGGCAGAGCAGTACAGTATCAACAACAGTGCTATTAATAGGAGGCGCGTGTGGCACGACCACAGCAACGTAACCATGGCCCTGACAGTAATTAGAGCAAGCGCCGCGATGACTGGAGCAGACGTCTGGACAGCGCCAGACACTGTGGTGAGCGCTTTACACGAATTGATATACTTGAGCCCTACACCAAGGCGGAGGTTACTGTTCCCATTTTAGAGATGAGGAAACTGAGGCATGGAGCGTTTAACTTGCCCGAGGTCACGGCTGAGTAAACCAGGATTTGAGCGTTAGCAAATCCAGGGTGGAGGAAGTGGTAACTGCTTCTCAACGTGGAATCCATAGGGAGAGATGAGCCTGGGCTCGGAGGACACCTGTGGCTCGAAATCGGGCTCAGAAAGCACAGGCAACAAAAAAACAAACAAACAAACAAAAAGGACGAATTGACCTTCATCAAAATTAAAGGATGCCTGGGGTGCCTCAGTTGGTTGTGTCCAACTCTTGTTTTGGCTCAGGTCATGATCTCGCGGTTTGTGGTACCAGCCCCTTGTTAGGCTCTGCACTGACAGTGCGGAGCCTGCTTGGGATTCTCTCTCCCTCTCTCAGCCCCTCTTGTGTGCTCTCTGTCTCTCTCTCTCTCAAATAAGCCTTTAAAAAATTAAAAACTTTTGTGCTTCAAAGGACTCTATCAAGACAGCGGAAAGACAACCGCCATTGGGAGAAAATAGTTGTGAATCCTGTATTTAAGAAGTTTGTATTTGAAATATATAAAGACAGACCCCTTCCCATTCAATCATAAAAAGATAATGCAACTCAAAAATAGGCAAAGGGTCTGTAGTGAACATTTCTCTAAGAAAGATGTACAAATAGCCAATGAGGTCATCACCAAAAAAGCACATAAAAAAGATGCTCAAGGTCATTAGCCCTCAGGGAAATACAAGCCAAAACCACAATGAGACACCGCTTGCCACCTTCTAGGGAAGATGATAAATATTGGCAAGGATGTGAAGTGGGCCCCCTCCTAACTACTGATGGAATGGAAAATGGCATACCTCCTGTGAAAAATAGCCTGGCGGTCCCTTAACTGGCTAAACGGCACCTGGGTGGCTCAGTTGGTTAAGGGTCCAACTTCGGTTCAAGTCATGATCTCACAGTACATGAGTTCAGTCCCCACATAGGGCTCTACTGGTTGGCACAGAGCGCGCTCCAGATCCTCATCCCCCTCTTTCTCTGCCCATCCCCTACTCGTGCTCTGTCTCTCTCTCTCTCAAAAATAAATAAACATTAACCAAAAAATGATTAAACATAGTTACCCTACGACTCGCAATTCCACTTTCAGGTTATCGACTGAGGACGAAACAAACGTGCACACAATTGCTTGTACAACAGATGTTCCTCACAGTATTATCCAAGGTAGCCAAGATATGGAAACAGCCCGAATAGCCATGGACTGATGAATAAGTAAAATGTGGTATGTCCATACCACGGAGTACCATTCAGTAAACAAACAAATGGCGGGTGGCTCAGTCAGTAAGCATCTGACTTCAGCTCGGGTCATGATCTCGCCATTCACGAGTTACAGCCCCACAGCAGGTTCTGTGCTGACAGCTTGGAGCCTGGAGCCTGCTTCGGATTGTGTCTCCCTCTCTCTGCCCCTCCCCAGCTCATGCTCTTTCTCTGTCTCTCAAAAATTAACATTAAAAAAGAAAAAAAAAACACGAAGCACAGACACAGGACATGGATGAAGCTCGCAAGCACCGTGCTAAGTGAAACTAGCCAGGTGCAGACGACCATGTATCGTATACTTTGGTGTTTATACATCCAGATGGGCAGATTCTGCACCTTGTAGACTAGTGGTACCTAGGGCAGTAGGGGAAGGATTGGGGAGTAATAGCCAGAGGACACAGGTTTTCCTGTTGGGGTGCTGAAGATGTCCCCAATTTGATGTGGTAATGGTGGCACAACTCCGTGAAAATACTAACCATTGGATTGTGCACTGTGTGTGTTGTGTCTTATCTGAATTCTTTTTTTTTCAAATCTTATTTTTAAGTAATCTCTCCACCCAACCTGGGGCTTGAACTCATGACCTCGAGATTAAGAATCACATGCTCTACCAACTGAGCCAGCCAGGCACCCTGTATCTGGATTATATTTCAATGAAGCTGTTACAAAAAGCAAAAAACCCACACTCAGTCCCGACCCTCAGATCTTGGGCAAGTCCTTCTGAGCAGTTTCCTCAACTGTGAAAGGCGGGAAGTTGGGCTTCAAGGTCAGAAAAGGGCCTTCCGGTCACCGAGACGAAGGGCCCAGTCCTGGTTCAGCTGCTGACCCACTGTGTGCCCTGCAACCACTGGCTCCCCGTTCTCGAGCCCCATCTGGGGAAAGGGCCTGGGCTTCTGGGTCAGGCGGTTCTTGGTTGAATCCTGGCTCAGCTGCTTACTAACTATAGGACTGGTGGCAAGTCACATCCTTTCCTGAGCCTCGGCTCTCTCCTTTGGGAATCTCGGGGGCCCAACAGGGTGAAGGAGAGAAGAGGGAAGGAGCGGAACAGGGACCTGGAGGCCTCGTCACCCCACCCCCAGCAGCTGCAGAGGAGGGACTTCTAGAACCCATCTGGGCTGGGGGCTAAATACTCTGCTATCAGTTCCATCAGTATTTACCAGGCACCTAGGTACCGTGTGTCCCCTGAGCCAGGCTCCGGGATCCTCATGGGCTTTTTGGCAGGTCAATGTCAAATTCAACACCCGAGGGTCCTGGCAACACCCTCCCACACCTCACTAAGCTTCGCACACGCTGTCCGTGGCCACCTGGACAGCTCTGCATGTTCGGTGGTTATTATACCCATTCTACGGAGGTAGGGTAGAGTGAACCGGGCCTGGCTGTGTCGAGCATCCACGATGTAGCCCAACCATGACTCTTTCTCTCCCCACAACCCTGGGAGTTGGGGATCGTTCTTCTGAAAAGGGGCAACTGAGGCTAATCGCTCAAGGGGCCAGGTGTGAATCCAGGCTGACGTGCGTATGTGCAGCCCGCTCCTGCCCAGGGGCCCCATCAGGGGCCACCAAAGTCCGGGCAGGGGAGGTGGGCCCCAGACTGGGTCCTCCCACACCCACCCACCTCTGGGCACAACCCTCATCCATGTTTCTCAGGTGCCAAAGGCTGAGTGATGAACCACGGACAGCCTCGTCAAGGGCACTCTCACTTCCCAAGCACCTGCTACGTCCTTGGCCTTGGAGGAGCTCAGGGGACGTCTGCAGCCCGCCCACTGGACTCCACCTGGCCCCGCCACTCACCTCACCTGGCCTCTTCTGGACGCGGGGAAGTCCAAGTCATTGCCCCACTTCCACAGCTTGGGGACTAGGCCAGAGAGCTGGCCAGACCCACGCAGTGCTGAAGGCCGGGTGCCCGTTTAGGTCCTGAGCCTTTGCAGGCCGGGGCCCTGCCTCCCAAATCCCACCCCCAGCCCTGCGAGGCGGAGGTGACCGTGTCCAGTTCACTAAATAGATGGGGGCCTTCACCTGCAGAGGGCTCTGTCTGCACCCAGCGTGGCCCAGCTCAGAGGGTGCATGGGACACAAGGCTGAACCGCCCCCCCCCCCCCCCCCCCCCCCCCCCCCCCCCCGGCTCAAGCCCCAGCAGAGGCAGGACAGGAGGGAAAGGGATCCAGAGGCTGTAGCCCTTCCCCACCCTCCCCCTGACACGCCAGAGCAGCTTAATGTTTCCATATAAAGGAGACGCAGGGCTTAAGGTGCGTTAACTTGGTGTCAAAGTCACTGTCTAATCTGGGGCCAAGGAGCTCCGCCCCCCAGGCCCCAGCCTCCCTCCCCCTCAAAAAAGCAGCACCTACACGCTGTCCCGGCCCCTGAGTGGTCCCCCCATCTCCTCCACCTGCCAGCAGGGCACAGACTGACAGGGTGGGGGTGGGGTGGGGGGCCTGGGGACAGAGAATGAACCAAGACAGAGGTTCCGAGTGGACAAGGGGGGGGCTGAGAGGGAGCCTGGAAAGGAGGGACAGGCCCCACAGGGGGTACAGGGACCCAGAGAGAGGGGGACAGACGCCCACAGGGAAGGGGGCAGAGGCAGGGTGGTGGTGGGGTGCACAGAGACTGGGGGGTGGGCGGTGGCGGCCAGAGACCTACAGAGAGAGGGCAGAGGCGGCAGGAGGGAAGGGGGACTAGGAGCGGCTAGGAAGGGAAGAGGTGTCGGGAAATGGGAGGCTGGGAGCCAGGCTTGTGGACAGAAACTGGGCAGGAGGCGCGGGGATGAGGGGCAGGAGGCAGGCGCGGAGATGGGGTCGGGCCGGAGGCCGGAGCTGGGAGTGGGGCGGAAATTGGTCACTGAGGGTGAGGCAGGACCTCCCCAGGGGAGCAACGAGGACGGGGTCGGGGAATGTGAGGCGGAGGGGCTGGGGCAAGGAGGGAGGGGTGGGGAGGTGCGTCGGTCTCAGCCGGGGGGGGGGGGGGCCCTGCCCCAGGGCCACCGCACAGAGGCGCGTACCTGGTGGGGCAGCCCACCCCCATGCCCTCCGCTGGGGGGTCCTCTGCTGGGGCCGCAGGGAGACCTCTGTGGGCGCCGAGGGGCAGCGGCGTGTCCTGGGCCCCAGGGTCCTTGTGGCAAGCGCCCGACCTCTGTGTCTACAGGCGGATCAGAGGCCCAGCCGGGGGGGGGGGGGGGGGGGGGGGGGGGGGGGGGGGGGGGGGGGGGGGCGGGGCCAGCTCAGAGCCGCAGAGGGGGAGCCAGGGAGGGCGGCCAGGCAGGGCGGCTGGGCCGCAGCCCAAGCCTGCTGGAGAGGAGACTCGGTGGCGGGCACAGGAGGGGGAGGGGGCGGAGAGACGCAGGCACAGACGAGGCCAGCAGCGGCAGGAGAGAGAAATGGGGGGGGGGCTCCCTGAGATGAGGCCTTAAGAAGCGGGGGACACAGGTGAGGGAGCCCTCCAGAGACCCAGGCTGAGTCCCACACGGAGTCAAATCTGGGGCAGGCAGATCCCGCCAGCCCACGATGGGCTGAGCGCCGAAGCCAGGGTTCCCCGCGGCCGCTCCCGGCGCAGTGGCCTCCGGCCAGCCAGGTGCCAGACTGCCCCCCCCACCCCCCACCGCCTCCTCCAGCTTCTTCATAGACGGGACACCAGCATGATGAGTCTCACACCCATTGGGCCTCATTCTGGTTCTTTATTGCGTCAGGAGCCCCTGCCCTTCCTTCCCACGTGGCGCCTGCCTGGGCCGCGGGAGGGAGGGCAGACCCGCGCGGTCCCCGCTGGGAAGTCCTGGCCCAACTGCGACGGCGGGCACACACAGAGCCACACCGGGTTCTGCTAGGGGAACCCACGCCCCGGAAAGTGCTCGAGCTCCCCTGGGGGAGGCCGGCAGCCGAGGCCGGGTCCGCAGCTTACAAAGCGTCCATGGCGACACAAGGCCACGCCAGGCTCACCTGGGAAACAGGCCAGAGTCGTCGGACAGGCGGGGGTCCCAGGGCGAAGCCAAGTGTTCTGGAGAGAGGGGACACCGAGTCAAAGCCAAGGGTCACTGGGTTTTCTGAGTCACGGATCAAAGCACAGCCTTCGGCAAGACGGGTCCAGGGACCACACCGAGTCCTCTGCGAGAACAGCGCGGCCAAGAAGCCACGGCGACGGCAGCACATGGCCCAGATGACGTCCCTCTACCCGGCGAGGCCGGGACACAGGTCCGGACGTGTGCGGCCCTTCCAGGGGAGCCAGCCCGACCTTCGGTCCCCGAGTCGGTCCCCGAGTGAGGGCACGGCCGGCCTCCTCAGACGCTGATGGTGCGGAAGACGGTGAAGCCGGACAGGGCGGTGCTGACCAGGACCCCGGGGCACTGCGGGTGCCAGTGCAGCTCCTTCAGGTCCGTCTCGCCCTGGTGCACGAACAGGAGCTGCTGGGGGAGGTCTGCCAGGGCAGGGTCGCTCTCCGCGTCGCCCGCCTCGGGGTCCCGTTCCACGGCCAGGTCCCACTGCGTGATCTGGTTGTCTGCGCCCGAGGCCGCGAACACGCCACTGTCCTGGGGGTGCCACTCGACAGAGGTCACGGGGGCCACGTGCTGCTTGAAGGTGGCCACCGGGGAGCCAGACTGTGGGAAGGAGGGGGTCAGGGCACCCGCCACGGGGCTCCTGGGGCGCCCCAGACCGAGCCCTCCCCACTCCCCTGCTCTAGGGCTCCACCCGAGCTCCGCCCCCTGGGAACCCCACAAGCCCCGATTCTCCAAAAGGGACAGAAGACGTAAGTCTCAGGGGTCGCTGTGAGCTGCGCTTTCCCCTGCAAAGGACCCCCTGCGAGCTCCGGGTCACAAAATCCCCAGCCCTGATCCTCCCTGGGCTCGCCTAGCTTTCCCTTCCTATAAAAGCGGGGGGTTCTCAAGCGCTAGCCCTGATTCCATGAAGGCCTTAAGGAGGGCGGAAGCGGGGCTCCCCGGCTCCGGGGGGCACCGGTGAAAAGAAAAACAGCACTTGCATTAAAGCAAAGAGATTTCTTTCTTTTTTTTTTTTTTTAAATTTATTTCTGGGAGAGAGAGAGAGAGAGAGAGCGTGAGCAGGGGAGGGTCAGAGAGAGAGGGAGTCACAGACTCCGAAACAGGCTCCAAGCTCTGAGCTAGCTGTCAGCACAGAGCCCGACGCGGGGCTTGAACCCACAAACCGCGAGATCATGACCCAAGCGAAAGTCGGACGCTTAACCGACTAAGCCACCCAGGCGCCCCTAAAGCAAAGAGATTTCTAAATTGGAAAAGTGGTTCCAAAGTCCCAACGGCCAGTCCGCTTGGCCGCACACCTTCCTTGGGGGCCAGAACTCACTTCTAGAAGCTTCCTGAGGGCTGACTCTACAGGAGGGGAACAAAGACTACATCCTGGCGGCCCCGGGCAGGCACAGAGCCGTATGAAGCGCTGGCTCCATCCACAGGGAAGCGAGAGACGGGTTCTCCTGCCCAGGACCCCTCTCAGCCCTACAAAGTCAATTCTTAGCTGGGTGGTAAAGTCCTGTCTGCTCCTGTCCTTCCGGTGCTCAGTTTCCACCCTTGTAACGAACGATCTGGGTTCCCATGCTCAGCAGATTCTACAAACCCCACTGACGACGAGTCTCCCCATGGCTCTGAAGCCCCAGGCCCCGGGGCTCTCTGCACGGCGTTCCAGCGGGTAGATGGGGGTCACAGCCTCTGAGGCCACCCCACCCCGTCTGTCCCCTGTCACCTCTCTGGCTGGTAGAGCGAGCAACCCCAGGCCAGCCATAGCCTTCCCTCGCCGAGCCCATTTCCTCGTCTGCGCCCCACCCCGCAGGCCCTCCCAGCTCTGCTACAGACAAGCGTCTGAGGGAGGAAGCCCGCCAACCCGAGGGGCGCCGGGAGCAGGGGCTCGTCCGGCCCCAGACGTCCCGCTGGGAGGCTACCTTGAACTGCCGCAGGTCCCAGATCTTGAGGGCCCCGTCATCCCCGCCGCTAAGGAGGAAGGGCTCCCGGCGACTCCAGCTAATGACGTTGACGTCCCCGTCATGGGCGGAGGCGGTGGTGAGCATGCAGGCCTTGCTGGGGGCGGCCCGAATGTCCCAGATGCGGATGGAGGCGTCGGCAGAACAAGAGGCGAACACCTGGACAGGGCGGAGTCTGAGTGACGCTGGTGTGCCTGCCACCCCACTCTGGGGACCAGGGGACACTTGCTGGGCCACCCTTCATTTTATTTCATTTTTTTAAACGTTCATTTTTGAGAAAGAGAGAGTGAGTACAAGAGAACAGGGGCAGACGGGGCGGGGGGTGGGCAGAGGATCTGAAGCAGACGGGGCGGGGGGTGGGCAGAGGATCTGAAGCAGGCTCGGTGCTGTCAGCACACAGCCTGACACAGGCCTCGAACTCGTGAACCTCCCACAAGACCCAGGAGTGCAGACCCCAGCCATCCCTCACCGTGTCCTCAGTCGGGGACCACTGCAGGTCTTCCACAGAGCGCGTGTGGCCCACGAACGGCCGCTGGTCCACGTGCCAGGACCCGCCATCCGTAGGCGTCCAGAGGTGGATGTTCTTCTGACAGTCCCCGGTCAGCAGGCGCCCTGGAAACGGGGCGGGGCACTAGCTGGTCTCAGCTCATGCTCCGCCCTTCAGTCTCCACCCATGCTTCCTACGGGCCCCTCGCCCTCCGCCCCCGCCCCTCCAGGACCAACTCCCTGTACCCCAGGGACCCACCAGACACACGGGGCGACCAGTCCAGGGCAAAGCCCTCGCCCATATGGCCCGCGAAGGCAAAGACGGGCTTCACCCGGGCCTGCTCATCCCGGAGGAAGGTCGCCAGGGCCTGAGGGTCATCCACCGCCTGCAGAAGCCGCCGCAGGGCAAACACCTCCACCTGGCCCTTCTCTGACCAGACAGCGGCCACCGGCTCCTCGCCCAGCCAGGACACCTGCAGGGGAGGGGGGGGATGGAGAGGGAGGCAGGAAGGGTGCGAGGGTCAGGGTGCTGGCCACAGCTCCTGGCGCCCGAGAACCTGACCTGCGGGTCCTCAGGACCCCCATCCTCCCAAGGCTGGGAGTCAGGCTCCCAGAAACCTCTGCAGGGAAAAAAAATCACAGCCCGCCAAGACCAGCTGGGCCCGTGGGACAACTTCCCACCCACACCGGGCAGCCGCTACGCCCAGGCGGTTCCAGATGCCCAGGAACGGGGGCTGGGGTTCCAGCAACCCGTGGAAGGGCATTCAGACTACCGGGTTTTTTTTTTGTTTGTTTGTTTCTTGAGAGAAAGCGCAAGCAGGGGAGAGAGGCAGAGCGCATACTCAGCGTGTAGCACGGCACAGGGCTCGACCCCACGACCCTGGGATCATGACCTGAGCCAAGATCAAGAGTTGGGACACTCTACCGACTGAGCCACCCAGGCGGCCCAGACTACCAGTCTTTGTAAGCCTTGAACATGCTGGTGGGTCCCAGGCCGGGTCCTGATCGGCCTCAAGGTTTACAGTAGCCCCGAGCCCTGACCTCTCTGAACTCCACACTCCTATCAACACTGACCATTCAAACTTCCCACGACCAAAGCCAAGCTCCTCATCGCCTCTGCAAGCTCCTTCTCCCCAGGGCTCCCCATCTCAGGCCCTGAACTGTAGGAGTCACTGACTTGTCCTCACAGCCACCCTGTGCTAGCTGCACTCAGAACCCACATCACTTCCTTTTTTTTTTTTTTTTAAATGTTTTATTTATTTCTAGGAGAAAGAGAGACAGCGTGAGCAGGGGAGGGTCAGAGAGAGAGGGAGACACAGACTCTGAAATAGGTTCCAGGCTCTGAGCTGGCTGTCAGCACAGAGCCCGACGCGGGGCTCGAACCCACGAACCACAAGATCATGACTCAAGCGAAAGTCGGACACTCAACCAACTAAGCCACCCAGGCGCCCCCCACATCACTTCCAACCCCTTCTCACTACCTCTAGTGCCGTCACTCCTGGCTACTCCTGTCGTCCTTCCCCTGAATGACGGTCTCCCCACGGTCTATTCTCAACACAGCAAAGAGGGATTTCTTTAAAACACAAGTCAGATCCCAACTGATCTGTGCTCTAAACCCTCCAATAGCTCCCAATTTAACTCTCCAAGTAAAAGCTGAGTCCTTACATCCACCTATAAGCCCCCCACAAGCCATCATCTCCACCGTGCCCACCCCCAAACTGCTGTCACTCTTCCTCTCGTCCATTTGCTCTAGTAGATGCATTGGTCTCCCCGATTTCCCATGAAATTCCTCAACCGTGCCATGTTTGCCCCAGGCCTGGCCTTTGCACTTGCATTTCCTTTACCCCTAAACCCTTTCCCGACAGAGATCTCTGGCTCATTTCCTCACTTCCTGAGAGTCTCTGTTCAAATAGCACCTCATCACAGTACTTTCCTGACCGCACTATTTACAACAGCAAACCCAGTCTAGAAACATTCTAATTCCCTTATCTTGCTTTTACTCTTCTCTACGAGGATGCACTGCACTTTTACCGAATTTTTTCCTGTTCCTTTCCCCGCTAGCATGTAAGTTTCATGAAGCCAGAGAACTTTTGCTTCCTGTGAAATCCCCAGAGCACAGAACAACACCTGAATCACGGTAATACTTTAATGGGAACACACGGCAAGGGCTGCGGGCCAAGCAAAGCCCTAAGTGCGTGAATACACTGTCTCCTGTAATTCACACAGCAGCCTGATCGTAAGGTGCTAGAACTCAGCAGCACACAAAAGCGGTCCCATAGCCCACAATATAGCCTGAGCAGTAACAGAAAACATTACCTCACCCTACATCCGGGTGCTGCCTCTAGGCACCTGAAAGAACTGTATGATTCCCTTCTACCCTCACATCAGCTCCACCAGACCAGCTTTGTAATCTTCCCCATTTTACAGAAGAGGGAAGAACATAGAAACTAGTCCTCTATTGCATCTAGCACACAGCGACAATAACGACTGCGGCTTAGACGGAGATAAGCTAAGGTATGAGAGGTTATGTGCCAGGTAATTTTCTAAAAGCTGGAAGGCATGGACAACGGGGTTGGGAATGAGGGTGAGAGATGGAGAGTCGGTTCCAGGGACTGTATCTACCCGGACTCGGTTGATGCCGCCATAATGTGGCACCATAGCCAGTTCCAGCTGAGGTTTCCGCTCTTCTTCATCCTCTTCATCTTCTTCCTCCTCCTCCTCATCGCTGCCCTCCGATGGTGGGGGCTTTGTCCCATGCAGATTATGCATCCGAAGCATCATCAGTCTGGGGAAGAGTGGGGTGAGTGAGGCGCTGCACGCCAGGATACTTAAGAGAAGGAGACGCTGGAAACCTCGATTTCTAGGTCCTGGGGAAGGGGGTGCTGGGGCGGGGGGCTCGGCCTCCGGGTCCTAGGAACACCTCAGATCTCACTCACCTGTTGCTCTGGGCGCTCTCCGCCTGGGTCCCAGCGCACAGGTAAAGTGTAAGAGGAAGCTCTGTCCGGTTGTCTCCCAGGTGATCACGGACTATGTCGAAGCTAAGACAGGGGGCGCCTCGGGATAAAAGAAGAGATCGGAAAATTAGAATGGGACAGAGATCTCAGCCCCGGCGCGTGTGAGGTGTCCACACGCCTTAGACCCCAGTCTTCTCTCGCAGAGGGCCTTGTACGTTGCACACTCGGGGCCAGACCCGCTCAGGACTCAGGATTCCAGTCCCCTTCTTCCTCAGGACCCAGGAGTCCCGGTGCCCCTGGTCCTACCAGTCTGCGCTCGGTGGTACAGCACGTAGGCCTCCTCGTCCATGACCAGCTCCTCTCCTTCGCGCAGCGGCGGTCCCCGCCCGGGCAGGTAGACCTGGGGCGGGCCTTCGGTCCCTGCGTCGTTGGACTCGGCCTCCATGGGTTCCCCGGGGCCACACGTGCGCCGCCTACCCTTGCGCGCCGCCATCTTCGAACCCTGGCACGGCCGGCGCGAAGTGAGGACGTCACTTCCGGATTGCGGTTTCCTTCTTCGGAGGCCCGCGCCGCTGCAGGTTTCCTTGGAAACCATCGACCCCACCAATCAGAGAGGGCGGTGGCGAGAGGCTGAAGGAGAACTAAGGTAAAGGAGTCCTCGCCTAGCGACCGAGGCTTACGGATTCGGAGAAAATACACCCTTCGCGTGACTTTGCGGCGCTTTTCTGCAGAGCAGCGGCACGGCCTCCTGGGAGTTGTAGTCCTGTACGAGGCCAGTTTTCCCCGTCTACAGGAGGAGCTCTGAGCCCCGACTCCATCTTCCACCTTTGACTCCCAAGGCTTCCTTTCCGCTACATTATTCATGTATGCAAATAAGAGTTCTTACTGGCAAGAAGACTGGGGTTTTGCTCCCTGAGGACCCGTAAAATCGGTTTCCTCTTCCCTCTTTGTTATGATGGCTTTAATTCACTTCAAAATGCTTTAGTGTAGACAGGATGATATTATGTGTAAGTTGAATCTACCCTCCTGGGGCAGTCAATTGCCTAACCAGGCGTTCACATTGCGGCTCTGGTCAGCGAGCATTTAATCATAAAGCCAGCCCTCCGGAGACCGCTATTGCAAGTGCCTTGGCTCTCTTTATCCTTCATCAGCACCAGAGATTTGGCTAATTGGCATAATGAAATGTTAGGCATTGATTCCCATTGGTGAGATTAACGGCATTCGAGATAGGTGGATTGGCTGGGATATGCTAGAATCCTCGCTTGCAAGAACACGATATTAAGAATCTAGCAAGAAGCTTTTTCGGTAACCAAAGGAATGGGACCCTAGACGTAATCCTAAAATGTTTTGATCCTGGATCTTTCGTGAGTTCTTTGTCCCACCTTCTCTCTACCTCTCCGTCCCCCCTCGCCCCATCTCAGTCTTCTTAGGATCTATTCTCACAGCCCCTTTCTGGCTCTTTGTCTCCCATCTCCCTCCAGGGTCTGGGTTCTGAATACAATTCTTTCCGCCCTCTCTTCCTCTGTGGGACTTTTCACAGTTTCTGTTTCCTCCAGGGAAGTTTGGGGCGGGGGGGGGGGGGGGGGGGGGGGGGGGGGGGGCTGAGACAAATACGGAGCTCACACTTGGACTGAGGAGGCATAAAAACATGGTTTATTCCAAACACTGCAATGTGTAACAGGAGAGTGAGAGGGGAGGTTGGTGGTGGGTGTGGATTCCCAGACCGTCTCCTCCACAACCCAGCTCCAGACCCGGCTGGAGATCTAGGAAAAGGAGGCTTTGGGGGAGGGGGGGGGTCTGCTGGGTTATCGTTGGGACGGTCACAGATAAGGGCTGGAGTTGGAGAGGATGTGGCCGGTGGCACATGGGGCTGGTAGTGAGGTGCGACAGGGTGGGAGGTTTTGGCCCGATGTTTGTTGGGAATCAACGCTAGGACAGGAGGAGGCGGGGCTTCCGTTGGGAGTGTCCGATGTCAAAATTGGGAAAAGCGATCTTGGGTGGGCAGAGGAGGAGGATGTGTCACGGTGTGACGTCAAGGGTCATAGTCGGGTCCGGGCACAGTCTGGGATTCGGGTCACAGTTTGGGGTCAGGGGTCACAGTCTGGGGTCGGATGACCATTTTGAGGGGTCGGAAGTCACAGTCTGGGGTCAGGGGTTTCTGTGTGGCGGGGCCAAGGTCTGGGGTCACAGTTTGGCGAACGCGTCTCACAGTTTTGAGTCCCAATGGATGAAAGGTTAAAAACGGGCTTCCCCGGAGGCGTGGCTGGGGCCGGGGAGCTGCACAGTGATGTGGGGGCCACGGCCCCGGGCGTGGGGGTGGGGCGCGGGCGTGGCGTGTCCCCCCACCTCCCGCCCCATCTGGTGACGTTAAAAAGCCCTTGTCGGGTTTAAAAAAAAAAAAAAAACTCCAGTGGGCTCCGAGACCCCCGCCCCCTCCCTTTCAGGCTGGGTGAGATTTGGGGGAGGGCCAAATCCCTTCCGGCTCTTGGTGCCCCCAAAGCGACGGGGCGCGGGACGCTGCTCCAGGCGGAGTCCGGCCAGGTTGTTTTTCCTTCCCAACCCACGCGGGTCCTGTCTGTGGCGCGTGCCCCCTCGGGCCGTGGCCTGCGCTGACCGAGGGGGCGCCGGGGGCGGGCCCCCTGGGCCGCGTCATACCTCGGACTCGAGGCTGGAGAAGTGCGCCGAGCCCCTGCGGGTACCCAGATCCCCGCCCCGGTGTCTCCGGTGGGGCGCGGCGGGCAGCGGCGGCCCCCAGTGCGTGGCGTGCGGGCAGCGGCGCGCGTGGCGGGAGGGCCCGGTGAGCCTGCGCGCGGGGGCGGCGCGGGGGCACGAGCTGAGGTCCTCGAGCGAGCGCGAGGTGGGCGCCGGCGGCGGGAGGTCCCAGCCCCCCGCGGCGCGCCGGTGCCGGTGGTGGTGCGGGGCGGCGGCGGGCGCGCGGTGCGAGGCCCGCGGGCGGTGCGGGTGCGGCCGCGGGCAGCCGCAGCGGGCTCGGCGGCGGGGCGGGGGCCCTGCGGCCCAGGGCGGGGGCGGCGGCGCCCACCAGCCGCCGTCCAGGCCGTCGTGCGAGCAGCTGAGATGGCGCGGGGGCGGCAGCAGCTCCAGGCTGGCGCAGTGACGGCAGTGCCAGGCGGCCGGACCGCTGCGCGGGGGCAGGTAGTCCCAGCTGCCGGCGCGCCAGCCCCCGAGCTTGTCGACCGACCAGTAGCGGCCGGGCGGCGGCCCGAGGCGCTCGGCGTACGGGTAGGGGAAGTCGGCGAACCACCAGGGCTCCAGGCCGCCCAGCGACGCGCCGCCCAGGCTCTCCGAGTCCTCCGAGTCCGACGGCGACGGCTCGAGGTCCAGGTAGGGGCAGGGGGGCGGCGCGGCGCGGCACGGCGGGGGCGCGGCCGGGGCCCCGCCGCCCGCGCCCCCCGCGGCCCCCGCGCCGCCCGCGCCGGGCCCCAGCAGGGGCTGGCTCTCGGGGTCGGAGCGCGGCCAGCGCGCGGGCGCCGGCGGGCTCTCGTCCTCGTAGGCCAGGCGGCACAGCGGCGGCCCGACGGCGGCGGCGGCGGCGGAGGCGGCGGGGGGCGCGGGCGGCGACGGGAAGCCGGGGAAGGCGCCCGAGGGGGGCTCGGCCGGCTCCTTGTCGCGCACGATGGCGAAGTAGGAGGGCGGAGGCTTCTGCGGGGGCTGCGCGGCCGGCGGGGACAGCGGGCGCCCCGCGGCGCCCCGCGGCGCCGCGCGCGCCTCGCCCACCCCCAGGCCCTGCGGCTCGATGGGGCCGTAGTAGCGGTGGAAGCCGTCGGCCAGGCCCGCGCCCCCCGGCGGCCCGGCACCTTTGGCGCGGCGCCAGCGGTCCACCGCCGCGCGCTCCCGGGGCACGAAAGGCGCCGGGCCGGGCGGGGGCCGCGCCGCCGGGTACGCGGGGCTGGGCAGCGGCTGCGGCGGCGGCGGCGGCGGGGGCTTGGCCGGCGGCGGGGCGGCCTCCGCGCTGCAGCAGCTGTACATGCCCTGCGGGGGAGAGGGGGCACCGCGAGAGAAGCAGGGTCAACGGGCGAAGGCCGGGGACCGCCCTCCTCCCCTCCAGCCCTCCCACCTGTCCGGCACCTCGACCCAAGTCTCTCCCACTCGGAGGCGTCCCCGCCTGCCTCCCTCTCCCCTCCCCGTACCCGGGAGAAGGCCAGCAGGAAGTCCATGCGGTGGGTGGGCCCCAGGCAGTGCCGCAGACGCCAGTACACCAGGTGCTCCCAGGCGAAGACAAGCAGGGAGAGGCCCATGGCCACCAGGAGCATGTAGAAGACACCTGCCATGTTGTCGATGTCCAGCTTACTGCTCATCACCTCGATTTTGTCATTGTGGCAGATCCCGGACAGCCACAGCCGCTCCAGCATCTCGATCTCGTCTGGAGAAAGGGGGCGGGGGAGGGTGGGGCACCTAGGTCAACTTCCACGGCCACCGTCCGAGGACCCTCTTCTCGGACAGAAGAGCCTAGGTGCCCAACCCTCTCCAACCTCAGACCCTGGTGTCCTGATCCTCCTCCCCTCCTGAGCCCAGGACCCAGGGCTCTTGGCGGCTCCACCCCCCCCCCCCCCCCCCCCCCCCCCCCGGCATCCCTGTGCGCAGCCGCACCGTCCCCCAGGAACTGCAGCAGCGCCAGGTCGATCGGCCGCTTCCAGCGAGAGCCCTTGTGCAAGGCGATGCCATAGCCCGTTGTGGCAAAGACCTTGCCCGAGCCAATGGTGACCAGCTTGCAGCCTTCATCCTTTCGGGCCATGTAGTTGAGCACAGCCGCATCATAGATGAAGGCGTCCAGCTTCCTGGGGGTTGAGGGGGGGCAGGGGGCATGAAAGGCAGGGTCAGTCCCACCCAGATGTCCTCACAGCCACCCCGAACCCCCTCTCACCCCTAATAGCCTCCAATTACTCCACACCCTGACTGATGGTGAGCTCCTGAGCAAGCCACTGCATCTCCTGGTGCCTCCCTTTGAAGCTGCAAAATGGGGATAATTGCAATACCTCCCTTCCAAGGTTGCCGCAAAGGTAACGATGCTTGGTGCAAAGAAAGTGCTGGAGACATGTGAGCTATGCCTGTTACTGAGATAACTGCGGCCCTCCAGAGAAGGTTCTGGATACTCCTGCATTCTATGAACGGGCTGAGGCTCAGACAGGGGACTCCTAAGTCATAATAACGCTAACGATCGCTTGTATCATGCCAGGCGCCGTTCCATCGGCTGTAATAACTCGTTCAGTCCCTCTCAGCGCTCCTGCGAGGTGGAAACTGTTATCTCCATTGCTCAGATGGGAAATGCAGGCCGAGACGCACACCTTACTTTGCTTGCGTTCTGCCACAAGGCCCCCGATTTCTAAACCTTGATAGGAAGACAAACAGGGAGAGAGACTCCCGCTCACAGAGGAATACACTGCGGCGCATGTGCCCCGTGTCCCTTCTGTCACAACTGCTGCCATCGGACACGGACTTCCGTGACTATCCGATGAATCCCAGCTTCTGCTCTTAAAGCTGTGACTC